TGCCTTGGGCCAGAGATGGGCCACTGTCACCCCCCTTGAGTCAGTCACTTTCTCTTCCTGAGTGTCAGCTTTCTCATCTGTGAAGTAGCACCCTTGGGTGCCTCCACCTACCTCAAAGGCTGTTTATGAGAAGAAGTAGGACAAAGCAACATGGTAGCAATTTGTAAACTGTAAAGCAAGATACAACTCCATTATGGGCACTGTTGGTTAGGGTTCCAGAGCTCAGCTGGATTCCACCTTGGTCTCTAACTTGCTGATACACCTTGAATGAGGAGGATGACCACGACAGCAGGGCTACGCCAGAGCAGCTAACTTCCAGCACTTCTGCTCCTGGTATTGTTCTTAGCACCTGATATGTATTGATTCACTTCAGCCTTGCAACAATCCTGTGAGATGGATCAGTTATCTCCATTTTACAGATGAGAAAACTGAGGCACAGAGAGGCTAAAAAACTTGTCCAGGATAGCACAGCAAGTTAGTGGTAGAGATGGGATACAAACTCAAGCAATTTGACCCTACAGCCTACACTCTCCAACATTAACCTACAGGTTACTACTTGGCCGTAATGAGCCTCAGCCTTTCAGTTGTAAAATGGGACTAGCTAACATTTTACACTAACTGGCAGGGCTGGTGCACGGACTGAATGTGAGAATGCAGGTAAATAGTTGAGGACAGCATCAGCCACACAGCAGAGGTTAATGGAATGACTTGTGTTTAATTATTTAAAATTTTTTTCTAGTAACTCTATGAACCAAACCCATACCTTTTGACAGGTAATTTATTCTTATTTATTCATTTAAGTACTTGCTTAAAAAGTATCTAAGTTTTAACTAAACCCAAATTTATACGAGTCAATTACTGAAAACCAGGATGGGATAGCAGCCAGTTTATCTGCTTAGAATCACTTCAATTCCCAGAAAGGGAGAATCTGGTGAGGTTAACCGCTTTAGATAACAAGGCTTAGTTTAGGGAGGCCCTGCAACAAAGAGAAGGAATGTGGAAGAACCTTCTGATTGGCATGGGAGAGGATGAACACTCGAGCATGTATCAAGTAACAATCAAAGTGATAGAAATCACTTCTAGCCACAAATGATCAGACGACATGCTCAAGATACTTTACACGATTCAGAATTCTCCCAGTGTTCAAAGCTGAGTACGTGTTTTGCATTAGTGGACAAGGGACTGATGGCTCAAGAACTTACAACAGCTCTCTGAGGGTCCACTTAGCCAGTGGAGCTAAAGCAAGGGTGTGACATAAAGCCCCTCAATCATGGACTCCCTCAGAATTCGAGCTGCTCCCCCTGCCCAGGGTGCCCTACACCCTTCTCTGCCTGCAGGCTGCCTCTTGGAAGCCTTCCCCGGCTCCTGCAACCTCTGGTGCAGTTGGTGCAGAGGCCAAGTTGATCCCTGTCCTTGGTGATCCCTGAGCATTCTGCTGCAGATCTTATTAGAGCGCTCACACTGCATTTAACTATGCATGTCTTCTCCATTAGAGAGTGAAAGCAAGCACTGGGTTTTATTTCTTCATGTGTTTCTGGCACACAGTAGCTTGTCAGCAAACATTTCCCGAGTGAATGAATCTCTTAATCTGGTTCAATCTCCCCAAGGTTTATATCCTCGTACACTACCTTTGCAGGTGCTTGTTTCAGTCTGAGTTTTTCCCCCATCTGGACTTCAGACAGCCTCTTGTTTAATGTCCTGACATTGCACTGAGCCTTCTGAGATTTGGAAAGAACCAGGCTGATCTCACAGTACCATCACCAGGTCTCACACCCCAGTCTGATTTCTTCCCCCATTGCTAAGACTGCCCACCATCCTAGCCACTGTTTTCAGAATTCCCTTTGGTTTACCCTGTCCTTCCAAGAATGTGGTATCCAGTACAGAAGGTGATAGGTGGCAGAAGGAAAGTTCTGAAGTCTGTGAGTAGGACCCAAATCAAGTACAGATTAAAATTACCCTTAACAATACCTAAGGAAAGTACTGGGTAGAATGACTGGGAGAGCCCTGGACAGTCCTTTCCCCCTGCAATGGAGCAGGCTACTGTTGAGGAATAGCTAGACAAGTCCTGCATTTAGAGTCTATGCTGTAGTGAAAAACATCTATCTTTAAATATCAGAATCCCGTTTAAGAAGAGGCACTCAGGAAATTAATCTGGCTGTCGAACAGAGGAGGCTGCCCCACTCTCATTATCTCAAGGCATCTGCTCACTGGGAGGGAACTGTCCACATTATAAATCTTGTTTTGTAAGATGTGGGTGCATGATGCAACTTACTGAGTGGGCGCTCCAGGAGTGACCAGAGACAAGGGGGCAGAACGGGCACCTCCCGCCTTGCGCACCCACCCATCACCCCGTTTACCGTGAACATGTCCTTTCTTCTCCCATCCAGCCAACATCCTAATTTATTTCTTTAACTAAATTCCAGAATTACGTTTAATTTCAGAAGTTTTTAACCTAGAGTTCTGAACCCCAAATTACATCAAGGTTGCACACACATTGGTATGTGTGCTATTCTAAGCAGAGTAGCTAGGTTTCATTACTTTTCAAAAGGGTCTGAGATGCCAAAAGGCTAAGAACCATTGTCTTAAGTGTTTACCACATAAATGGCAAATGAGGCTTTCAGTCTTTGTTTTTTATTTATTTAAAATTTTTATTAGGGTGTTATTGATATACACTTACGAAGGTTTCACGTAAAAAAACAATGTGGTTAGTACATTTACCCATATTATCAAGTCCCCACCCATACCCCATTGCAGTCACTATCCATCAGTGTAGTAAGATGCCACAGATTGACTATGTGCCTTCTCTGTGCTACACTGTTTTCCCCTTGACGCCCCACACTATGTGTACCAAACATAATACCCCTCCATTCCCTTCTCCCTCCCCACCCTCCCACACCCCTCCCCTTTCAGTCTTTGTTAAGGAAAGTTACTTTATCTACTGAACAAATACTACAATCTAAAACAAAGAAAGCAAGCTATAATCTGTGATATAATTATCTCCTTTAAAAGAGTACTGGGAGTATAAAGGGCAAATGTGCACACTTCACAGTGACCACACCTTTGAAGGGAAAGCCAAATCGCTCTTAAAGTTACCTCTCAGTTCCTCATTTTGAAGAACCTGAATTGTGTTCTCATTCTGAAAGATTCCGTTTCTCTGGAGGAGCAAAATAGACCCTAGAAGAAACTGCACAGTTTGGGGATGAGGAATGGAAAGAATTATAGAACTACTCAACAGAACAACACAACAGTGACTTGGGCCATAGTGAAATCATCTCCCAGATGAGATCAGAATACACTGATTTTGTAATTTGGGGGAAAGAGGGCACCAAGAGGGCCAATTGTGGAGTTGCTGGGGAGAGCAAGTGGCTCAGGAGTTTCTGAATGCTTGGAATACCACCAGGAGGTGGGATACCATCTTCACATCCTTGCCCTAGAGTGTGGATGTCAAGGAGACAGAAATGACTTCTTTAGAGCAATAAGTTCTTTAACACTTTAAAGGCTGAAACAGATCATGTTCACTTTTCCCAAAATACTGGGAGGAAAGGTTATTTTTCCCTCCAAATAATAAAACAGACATTACCTTAAATGGCAAGGGAGAGATTAATATGACAGACAACACTAAGACGCTGAAAGTCAAGCTATGAATCCACATAGGCAACTCTTCATTCAGTATCTCCACTCCCTATGAAAGCCATGAATCACCTGAACTCTGGGTCACTGGGATGAAATAAAATGCACAGCACCCTGATCCTAAGAGACACAACTCTTCACCCCCTAAGCCAAGGTTTCCAGCACTTTGGTAAAAACCTGGTAAAAAATACGAATAAGCTCAGAGTCTGGCAAAGATAGCAATACATACCCAGGTTGTGGGAGGCACTGCAGAGGTGGTCACTGCTCACACAGGGCAGCTGGGTAGCTGAGACTGCCCTGTGCAGCCAAAGATCCTCTTTAATAGTCTTCTCCTCTTTCTTTCAGTTTCGTTTTTGGAAAAGGCTCTTCTTTTCAAGCCCGTTGATCTCGCTCTTCAGCTACTTGCATGTAGGGGTTTCTTAGAAATTATCCGGTTTCTCATAAACACTTAAGATTCTTGCCCAACCTTGTTGATGAAAAGACTGTCCAATCAGGGATGGGTTGGGTGGGGGCCGGCTGGAGACCAGGGAAACCCTGTTGAGAACCTAGCCATTAGCAAGTCATTGCATCAGCCATCCCATATCTCAGGCTGACCTCCATATAACATCTCCACCCTCTTCCTGTTCCCTACCCTCTGCATCGGTAACTGATGTAAACATAAGTAAATGTTGTGTAGTCGTGGGGGAGGGGGGGCGGAAAGGTGGGCTGTAGGACTGTAAATTCCCCCCAGCTGTGCACTGAGGCAGCGCAATACAGTGGAAGGATCATGAGTTCTGCGGTCAGACAAACCTGGGTTTCAATCCCAGCTCGGGCACTTATGTGTTTCGAAACCCTGGACAAGTCACAGTGTATCTCTACTTCACCTTGGTTTCCTCATCTATGAAACAGGCGTAAAGAAGCCTCCTGAGTACCGTGGAAGGGACTAAGTGCGATAGTATGCGCAAAGCTTCTGGTACATGGCAGAGACTCGTTAGGAGTGGGGGCCTCCCTCTGGGCGAAGGGAAGAGGCGGGAGACCAAAGGGTCGGTGCCGGCGCGATAGGCAGCAGGCCGGGGGATTGGCGCTTGGAGGAAGGGGGCGAGGGGCGCCGGGCAGCCACCGCGCACCTCGTGGTGCCAGAACCCAGCGGGCCGCGAGCAGGGTCCTGAGAAGGGCATTCCAGACCCTGGCGTGCAGGCGCTCCGGGACGCCCAGGTTATCCGGCGCCGCCCCGGCCTCCCTCCTTCCTCCCTCCCCCATCCCCTCACTCACCAGCCCAGCACGCCTATCAGCGCCGCCGGCTCCGCTACCGGCTGCCTCTTGGGCGTCCGTGGAAACGCCGTCCGGCCGGAACAACTTCCGGCCTAGCTGCGCCATTATTGGATGATCGCGCAGGAAGGAGGTAGCCGCTGATTGGTTGGCGGCCCCTGCGCCAGCGGAACGCGACTGGGCTGAGGCGTGCCGGCCGGACACGGCCTCCGGGAGGACCGAGGGCTTCCGGTGCGTGTGGTGAGCCGCGGGCCGGGGGCGGGAGGGTCTCGGGACCCAGCAACGCCCCCAGCGGCCTGAGCGCCCGGCGCCCCGCAGCACCGACCTTGCGCAGGCGCCCGCCAGCCCTTCATCCCCGGTTCCTAATGGACGCGCAGTGCCCTGGACCACTCGTACCGCTCACCCTTGACAGCTCGCTAACTCCGGTTCACCCGTCCATGCCCACCTCTGCTCGTATCTTCTTTGTTGCCTTCGTCAGTCTGGCCTCCCGCGCACGATCCGTGTTTTGTGTTTAATGTCTGTGCACACCAGACCGAACATAAGGCTTGGCACAGAGTAGGTAATCAGGAAAATGTTGAATGAGAATATCCCTATTTCTTTTATTGTTTCTGTGCGCCACAACTACCAGGCTCATTTCACCAATATTTCTAGATGCTAGGGATTAAACAGTGAACAAAACACAAAACAGTCCTGCTCTCCCGGAGCTGATTTATCAGTGCCACGCCCCCTTCCGGAGCCTCATTTCACTGACTTACCTTTTCTTCTAGCTGTACCTCTTCCTCGTTGAATCACCCATCTATTTACATGAAAAATTCTCCTCTTTTGACTTTTGCATTGGAAACGTAAAAGGCAGCACGCATTTACCCCCTAAGTTTGTGCTGTTAACCAATGGCTCCCAATCGCCTCTAATTTGCCTGTTTCCTTGAGTTACCCCTGCCTCCCCTCTCTCCCTTTCCCCAGTTGATTAATTTTGTTGGTTTAGTCTTAAGTGCCTTCCACCATGTCTGCTTTCTCACTTCCTCCAGAGCATTACTCAGACGTCACTTTCTGTCTTAGGCCTACCTTAGCCACTCTATGGAAAACTGCAGCCCCAAGTCCACCGCCAGCCCTAGTCTCCTCTGTTTTACTTTTCTCCTTGGGATTTCTCACCACCTCATGTCTGTTTCTCTTGATTATTGTCTCTCTCTACCCACTGGCATGTGGGCATGTGAGTGCAGGACATTAGTTACTGTCTCACTTGTTAAAGTGTTACTGGTGCTAATGTGGAGGAGCCCTTTGGTGAGGAGCCCATTGTTCCATCAGTGTTTGTTGAATGACTGAATGAACTGTACATGAAGGAGATAGTATTGGGAACCCTTCTGTCCACCCTCTTGCATTTGTTCAGTCCTTGCGCCTTAGGAAGTAGAGTTAATGGGTCCCAATCCCACTACTCTCTGATCTTTTGCCATAGACCTCGTCTTTGATTCTGGCCATTTGCCTCTTGTGAATCAATTACCGTGGGTGACTGGGTGGGTGGGAATCCATCTCAGTGGCTAAGGCCGGGTGCCCTGGTGGTGGGAACTGGAGGGTTCCCTTTGACAGGAAGGAATGGATGCTGTGGTGGGAGGTGCTGTGGGCAGGAGCTGGGACAGGTGAGATGTCTGATCAGGATGGACCTCAGGAGCAGGCTAAGTGTTTAGAGAATAGAAATGCACATATCATTCTCAGTGCCCAGCTCCGTTATTTTATCATTAGTCTATTACATTAGTTCCATTTGAGATAGGCTGGCCTGTTATGGAAGTTTTCTTTAGCTGATGGCTTTGTGTGTGGGAGGTGTTGCCTGCCTGAATTAGGCTTCAGGTAGGGGTGGAGGTTTGGGAGGAGGCAGACTGCAGATATTTGTTGAATGATGATGACCTGACTCTTTTGCAGTGGAGCCCTTCAGGTGAAGGTGACCTTTGGGGGAAAGGCATGGAACCGGTAGGTGGTTGATTCCAGGCAACTGAAACCCATCCTCCAGGGGAAGAGAGATGGGCGATAGGCTGTCTGCAGTGGCTTAACAGAGGACCCAGAGGGAATCTTGTGGTGCTGACCTGACCACCTGGACGGGGAGTTGCTCTGCAGCGTATTAGGGTCGGAACCTGGGCTTTCTCTAGTTGGTCCCTGCCTGAGCTCTCAGGGCTACTCCACTACGCCCTCTGCTGTCCGGGACGTGTCCCACCTCCTTGTTTTCTTCCTGACTACTTTGTGTTTATAGCACATCATTGAACTCCAGGCAAAAGAGGTACCATCTTTCTAGGAACTAGTTGGCAACAATTTATCATATGTGATGCTTCGGAATTCAAGAAGAATTTTTTACAAAAGAGAAATCCACTACTGTGTGAGTTTGTGTGTTTGGAGTGAAACTGGAATATTTGAATCCCACCTTCCGGCACCTCAGCCTTGTGTTGTGGATCTGTCTCTCCGACTGGCTATTAGTTGAGGTGGGGTATCTGGGGGAGGATCTAGGCAGAGAGGATACGGGGAAGGACTGGAGCACAAAGGACGACGAAGGTAAGGTGGTGTGCTCTCCCACGTGGTGGATTCTGAACAGCTTTCCACTTCAGGATTTTCATTCCTAAACTCATCCACATTGATGAGCACATTGCTTTGATTCGTTGCTAATTAACAGTGTGACAGGCTCTCTTTATGCATCTATGCAAGCATATGCTGGTATTTGTGTGGGATAGAGTTCTGCAGTGGGGCTCTTGTAGTAAAAACTGTATATGCGTACATTTGTAATAGACACTGCCCAAATTGACCTTCTAAAAGGCATCTTTGAAATCCTGGGTCCTTTCTGTTCAGGCCTCGTGTCTACATGTAGTCAGGTACTCTTATGTCTTTCAGTGAGGTTTTCATTTTCTTCATGTAGATCATGCTTATTTTTTTTTTTGGTATCATTAATATACAATTACATGAGCAACATTATGGTTACTAGACTCCCCTCATTATCAAGTCCCCACCACATACCCCATTACAGTCACTGTCCATCAGCGTAGTGAGATGCTGTAGAATCACTACTTGTCTTCTCTGTGTTATACTACCTTCCCCATGCCCCCCCTGCATTATGTGTGCTAATCGTAATGCCCCCTTTCCCCCCTTATCCCTCCCTTCCCACCCATCCTCCCCAGTCCCTTTCCCTTTGGTAACTGTTAGTCCATTCTTGGGTTCTGTGATTCTGCTGCTGTTTTGTTCCTTCAGTTTTTCCTTTGTTCTTATGCTCCACAGATGAGTGAAATCATCTGATACTTGTCTTTCTCTGCCTGGCTTATTTCGCTGAGCATAATACCCTCTAGCTCTATCCATATTGTTGCAAATAGTAGGATTTGTTTTCTTCTTATGGCTGAATAATATTCCATTGTGTATATGTACCACCTCTTCTTTATCCATTCATCTACTGATGGACACTTAGGTTGCAGATCATGCTTATTTTTTGTTAAATTTATCCCCCAGATATTCTGTAGCCTTCATTTAAAAAAATTACATCTTCAAACTAATTATGGCTGGTGTGTAGAAAAAGCCTCGTTTAAAAAATGTGTTTATTTTTATGGGTTTTTCAGTCTTGGATTTCCTAGGAGGTGTGTTTTCTTTTAACTACATGTGGTAAATATTCTTCCACGTACAGTTTTTGACATTTGACTTTGCTTGGTCCTAGGTAGTTTGCTTTCAGAGGACAGGAAGAGACTGTTTTCAATGGCGTCCTTAGTGGCTTACGATGACTCGGACACAGAGGCTGAGACTGAGCCTGCGGAACATCTTAGTGCTGCCGACCAGGTGGAAGATACTTCTGATGTGGTCACACCTCATGGGCGGGATTTTGCATCCGGAGTTCTGGACAGGACAGAGGCGGGAGCACTGTCCACGGAGCATGGTTCTTGTGAAGATCCCGCTGGCCGCCGTCTCCCGCTGGTTCGGCTCTGGGGAAGTGACCCAGGAGCTCGCCCTGCCCGGAGGCTACAGTGGCCCAGGATGGAGTCTGAGGTCACCTTCCCTACAGGTGAACCATCTCATCCTTCTCTCTGGACCAGCCATGCCCCGGCTGGCCACATGCCCCTGGCAGCTGCCCGCTTTAAGCAGGTGAAACTCTCCTGGGGAGCTTATGACTCCCCTGAGCCATCTTTCGGTGCCCAAACCAAATCTGAGGCCCCGGGGAGAAATGGCAGCTCTCTTCAGAGGAAAAGGTGTGAGGACTGTGTCATACCATACACCCCAAAAAGACTAAGGCAGATGCAAACATCAAACCCAGAAACAGGTGCGAGTAAAGACGTGGAGGCCCAGGGTCCCTCTGTGGGGCGTGCCCCGGCCCCTCTCGGTGTGGCACCTGGAGTGTCTGAGTTTATTCAGCCATATTTGGACAGTCAGTATAAAGAAACCACGATCCCCAAAAGTGTGCTCTTCTGCCTGAGAGGCCACAGGGGCCCCGTGAACAGCGTGCAGTGGTGTCCAGTCTTTTCGAAGAGTCACATGCTTCTCTCAGTTTCTATGGACAAAACCTTCAAGGTAAGACTTGAGTGAAACTGCTCTTTTCAGATGTTCTTTGGAATAAACTGTTGGGATATTTTATTCTTCAGAGCACTGAGGTAGTACATGGTTCCAGGCTGGACATTTCTTTTTGGGAATTCCTGTACCTCTTTGTTGGGTTCAGAAGAGGGTATTTAGGGGTCTACCCTGGATCGCTGGTCCATTCTGCCCCATTGCCCTGTGCTGCCTTGCCTAGGCCACCAGAGGGTGCTAGTTCTTATTCCTTGTGGGAGCGCTGAGGATGTCAAAACACGGTGAAGCCCTGGGAGCCCATCAGGGGTAGAGGTGAGCAGGCCCAGGAACAAGCCCTGGGAACTTGGGGATGTCCTCTGTGACCCTGTTGAGTGTTGATGCCAGCTGTATGCCAGTGCATTGTGCTGGATGCCAGGGGAGCAAGGGTAGATAGACGTGGCCCCTGGCCTCAGGGCATGCCCAGTGTGGTAGGGGCCATAGACAAGTAGAGAGGCACACACAATCTTAGCTCTGGGCTATGAGGACAGCACCCCAGTGGGACACACAAGTGCTCAGGGAACCCAGTGGAAGGGACAAGCAGCCCAGCCTTTCAGAGGAGGGGGCGGGGCTCACTTGGTGAAGGGTGTGGGGTGGGGTGGAAGGGCATTCTTGGCTCTAAGCATGGGGAAGCCTTGAGGGACTGAGGGGAGTGAGGGGCTTGACCCTGGGGAGGTAGGTAGGGGCCAGACCAGGGAGAGTTGCCGATATTCTGTTGGGGACTTCCAGTTTACCCAGAATTTCTGAATGTCACTGTTACTTGCTTGTTTTGAAAGCTCTTGCAGTAATACAGATGTGCGGTGAGCAGTCCCCATATCCAGGGGTCTGTGGGTAACAGGGGTGTCACACCTGCCTGTAACCTGCCCCCAGCCCCTCTGGCTGTACCCTGCGTCTCTCCTCACTCTCAGCACCTAGTGAAGCACCGAGGTACTAGGTGGCAAGTAAATGTGAGCTGAACAAAAGCTTCCTGGGAAGAAAATGGCTTCAGAGTTGGAAGGACATGACTTTGAATCGAATTTTGCTACTGAGTAGCTAGTAAGCTGGCCCCAGCTGCCTCCTGTCCACATCTGGTGTCTCGTGATCATATCTTGTAGCATTTGATCATGTGAGAAAAACACTTATAAAGCCCCTGGCACAGAGCTAGGAAGCCCATAGGTGCTCAGTAAATGTGGGCTTCCTCTCTTGGAAGAACCAACATGCCCAGAACACTGTATTTGCCAGTTATGTTTCGAGCTTTTGTTCCTAGGAGACACTTTTTGAAATGAAGATAGGAAGCCCTACGGTGAAGTCTTTGAAGGAGCTAAGTTGATGGGTGTCATTTTTAAGTGGCCTATTTGAGTCCTGAAACAACCTGTCTGTGTTCTTTTCTGGCAACACTCATAGAGTTACGTGGGGACAGCATCGTGTTTGCCCTGGAGCCCAAGGATTTCACACACAGATCTTTGGTGGTGCTTGTCCTGTGAGGCCAGGGCTCTAAAGTGTGCTCGGCAGGCTTCCGGAGGCCTTGGTGTGCACTGTAGCATGCCTGGGGTGGTCCCTGGTCCTGGGGCCTCTCAGCGCTCCTTCCTGGGTGTTTGTGCCCACGGAGGGCCGTGTGGGGACCTGTCCCTTTGGTCAACCTGTATAGGGAGTTTCTGGGGCGCTGTGTGGGGCTTGTGTGGAGCCAGCAGTAGCTGACTGGCCCTGGATGTGGGCCAGAGTTGGTGTGATATGGGCTTGGGGTCTGGCTTCAAGATCCCCAAAGCTTGGTGATCTTGGGCAAAAGGCACTTCACCTCTTGGCCTGCTTCCTCCTTGATAAAACAAATTGATGAGATGTGTGACTAGGGTTTCTCAGGTGGGGCCGATGCTCCGGCGCTGTGTGTCTAAAGCACCCAGTTAAGGCTGGGCACAGGGTGGAGTTTTGTGGACAGTAGTGTGGTAGCAGGTGGGCCGTCTGAGGGGTGCAGGCAGCTGCTTTCTAGGACCCCAGAGGGAGGGGGCAGTCTGGCAGATATTGGCAGCGTTGTCTTGAAGAGGAGGTGGGCTTGAAGGACAGGCTGAGAGACACAGGGGTGGCAGCTGTGCCTTGTTGGATGTCCGATGCCTGCCCGCCCAGGGGTCCTGATGGCCTGGAGCCCTGTGGGGACTGGTTGCACCTGCTGTGAGTGAGGTGCTCTGTGGGCCCGGCTTGGGTCACTTTCGCCTGGGATGTTTAGATTTCCTAAGCAGAGGCATTTCCCATGATAGCTTTTGGACCTGTGGATAGTTTTGAGGGCAGGCAGTGAGTGGAACCATTGATTTGGGGTATTGTGTTTGTTCAGTCGTGCAGCGGGTAATTGTGGAGTAGATGAGTGTGCTGGGCACTGTGCATTGGGTATGTGGGGTTGTCCCCACGGAAGGGACCCTGAACGGCCAAGTAGCTGTGACACCTCTTGACCAGTAGGGTGCGCAGTTGGCCCAGGTTGGGAAGGCTGTTCTGGCGTTCAGGCAGAAGGGCTGGCATAGGAAAGCCCTGCCGGGGCCGCTGAGGCCCCGGTCCAGAGCACTCTGCTGTGGGGCTGTGCTGCATGGGGCTGGGTGCAGGTGCTGTGCCCATCCCAAGGAGGTGGGGGGTGGGGATATGGCTTGATGGTGTGGGCACCAGCCCTTGCTCGGTGGGCAGCCTCCCAGGAGCCACTGCACTGTGTTCCTCACGGCTGGGTACAGGGGTGGCACTGGAGGTGGCTGCTGGGGTCAGCATCTCCTTATCCTCTTCTTACTGTGGTGTCTTGAAAAATCAGAGCTTTTATAAATCAAAGATGCAAATGGTTGGGCCAGGGTCTTCTCTGCTTTAAGGTATTTGAAAGCTTTCAGTGACAGAGTTATTTGGCAAATTGGTTTTGAGCAGCTTTTCAGTGTGAAGAATGTGTGGCTGGGGCTGGAGGAGCCAGGATGGGTAGACAGGTGGGGGCTAGTGGGGGCTGGGCGGGCGCTGGAGGGGAATCCTGGCTGGGGCCACGGTGTGCATAGCCTGGTGGGCGGCTGGCAGTCCTGGGCAGTATGGTTCTTTCCCCCCTGGTGTTGGAGGATGGGCTGCATAGTAGCTCTTGGGGGGCCTCTGGTATGAGACGGAGGAGGACGTGAGGAGCATGTGTGGGCACTGAACCTGGAGTGGGGACAGTGCTGTGGGCGCAGGCAGGAGTCCTGGCTTGCTGCAGCCCAGTCCTGGGTGAGAGCAGATGGTGGGCACAGCAGGGCATGAGTTGGAAGGGGGGATGAGCTACAAGAGGGGTGGAGTGACAGGGCACCCCCAAACCAACTCTATGCTCACTTCCTAGGGTGCCTTTTCCCTTATCTTTTGGTTAAGGTCCCCCAGAGCACCTTCTTGTCCCCTACTGGATCCGGAAGGAAGGAAGAGCTTGGGGGCCAGGGTCACGGGACTTCAGGTTGAAACCTCCCCTTGCGGCTGACTGGCTGTGTAACCTTGGCCAAGTTAGTGAACTTCTCCGAGCCTTAACCAGTGTATGTGAAGTGGAGATAACTATGCATGCCTTGCTGGGTTTTTGTGAAAAATAAACAATATTGGATGTTAATTACCTAGTATGGTGCCTGCAGGTAGCAGGCGCTTACCGTGTGCTCACATTCTTGCTTTCCCAGGAAGTCTCTCCCCTACCACGTGGTGGTCTCATTCTACCTGCGTAGCCATGGAACCGTATCTGCTCTACCTAGTAGATTTTTAAGCCTCTTGAACATGGGAACTATGCCAGATTCATTTTTTTTTAAATTAAAGTATCATTGATACACAATCTTATGAAGGTTTCACATGAGCAACATTGTGGTTATTACATTCACCCATATTATCAAGTCCCCTTTCCCACCCCCCATTGCAGTCACTGTCCATCAGCATAGTAAGATACTATAGAGTCACTACTTGGCCAGACCTATTTTTATATTCCCTGTAACAACTAGCACAAAGTTTTGGGATCAGTCAGGATTAAACAATGTTTTTGGATTTTATTTCCAAGCTTTGGAAAGGGATAGTCTTTTAAGTGCATAAATCATGTTTGCCACTAGGGGTCACAGTAGGACAGTGTAAACATCTCGCTCGAGTTTCTAGAATGTGGAAGAATTCTTGATTCAAGGTAACAGTTGTGAAATATGATTTCTTTTCTGATCAGGAGAAAACACAGTCCATCTGATTAATCTAAAGAACGTGGCGTGCCAGTTCCTTCATCTCCTTAAAATGTAGCTTTGGAATTCATACATTTGCTTGGGTACATTGCAGTGGAAAGATACTTTAATATGTTCTAAATGTTCTGTGAGCTGTAAAATATGCCTATATTAGTTTTGAAAAATTTGCAGCTAGAGAAATTAAGTTAAACAAAACAATGAGTCATAATTCTACACTGATGCTGTTTTCTTTCTTGATCCCTGCCCGTCCCTCTCCAAGTGTGCATCTGTTTTTCATGGTTGTAATTCCAGCACGAATACCCTTTTACATACTCTTTTCATTTCCCTGTGTCCTCATTTGACTCAGCATGTTTGAATACCCACCACATGTAAAGGTAGAATTTAGACTTTGAGGCCCTTTTTGAATCAAAAAGCACAAATGGCCTGCTTTAACTAAACACAGTCGACCTTTATTGTCGGCCCAGTGTGCAGAGCCCTCTGCCAGGCATCGAAAGGATGCCTAAAGGCACATGGCATGTTTCTTGCTTCTACTGCCTGTGTACGAAAACATAGAGTTCTGAAACACAGGATTTTAAGTAAAATGTATGAATTAGGTATCTATTTGCTTTACAAAATGATTTGCTCTAGGAATTCCTTCAGTAACAAGCTTCCATCAAAATACTTAAAAAATTTCTCATTTCTGATCATGAATGTAATAGATGCTTATTGTGAAAAACTTTGGAGAGACAGAAAATGTGAAGTATGGAGGAGAAAAAGGGAATCGTTGCTAACGCTGGCCCTGAGTCAGCACCTCAGGAACACTGGGGGCCTTTCCTGGCC